TAGTAGCAGTAGCAGTAGTAGGAGTAGCAGTAGTAGTAGTAGTAGTAGTAGTAGTAGCACTAATAGAAGGAGGAGGAGTAGTAGTAGTAGTAGTAGTAATAGAAGGAGAAGTAGTAGTAGTAGTAGTAGTAGTAGTAGTAGCAGTAGTAGTAGTAGTAGTAGTCGTCGTCGTAGTAGTAGTAGTAGTAGTAGTAACAGTAGTAATAGTAGTAGCAGTAGTAGTAGTAGTAGTAGTAGTAGCAGTAGTAGTCGTCTTCGTCGTTGTCGTAGTATTCGTAGTAGTAATAATAATTGCGTGCCGTTGGAACATGCAGCTGGAAATCGGAACCGCGTCGTTACACATTTCAACAGGGGCTATGCCAACAGCCGCCTGTCCAACAGTGTTCTAGAATGTGACGTGTGTGTGTGTGTGTGTGTGTGTTTTGCAGGATCGCTTCACCTTCGAGTTGGAAGACCAGGCGTGAGTAGGACAGACTGCAATTCGAACCACCGGGATGCCCGACAAGATTCATGTGGGACAGGTGTTTGGTGGGCGGCTCGTATCCGAAGATCGGCTGGAGTGTTGGCCCGAGTTCGACCTCGGTCTTCACTCAAAAACCGCAATTTTTCTTGAAAATAGGTGCGTCGGCAGTGAGGATGTCGAACAAGGTTCACAGATGGAGACGTCTGGCTTCGGGCCAGAAAGGTGGCATCTCTGCCTTGCACATCTGTTTCTGGACATGCAGATTGAGATGCTGTTTCCGAAGTTTTACTGCTTCTTGATGCGTCTTGCTTAAGCATGCTTTCGGCGGTTTCATGCGGTTTCCATGTCGCCAGGTAGAAGCTAAGCCCAAACGGAAATCCGCTCCTCGCCCGTGCCTCAGATGCAGCCTGCACCAATACAGTTTCAGAGAATACCGTGTCTTGTAAGCCATCCGAGAAATAGTTCGTGTTTCGCCATAGTGGTCAAGAGTCTGAGGCAAGCCGCCCGTCCCACTTGATGGAACGGTCCGAGCCTGATCGGTGTGAAGTGTTTCTGTTGGTGTTAACGCCACTTCTGCCCATCTGCTCACCCGAGTGTTCTTCTGACGCTGAACCGGCGATGTGCACGAAAGTCATGTGAACTGTCACTGGAGTGGGGAGAGACCGGTGCTAGCTAGCTGCTAGCTAGTTGCCATTCCTGGCATGCTGAAATTGAACCTCCCACGGAGTCGGTCAGGGAGGAAACAAGTATGAGTTTTCAGTGTTGTCGTTGACGACCAACCGTAGCCAACCAAATGCAACACTGCAACACAGCACGTCGAGATGCCAGAGCCTCATCGCAAGAGATTTCCTGAGCCCTAAGCGCCTGTGAAGGAACCCATCAAGCCGAAACGGAAAGCGGCACCGCGTTGCATCCTGAGATTTTGTGTTGGCTGCACCCATAGCAACACCTGGATGGAGATGCAGTCCTGAGTGAGGTTACTGTGTAGTGGTGTTACGTTCAAACCGTGTTCGGGAGCTACTCTGCACGATTTCGGCGTGGGATTCGAACGAAGCAACAACCCGATGACCGTGGCACCCAAGGTAAACGTGCAGCCGTCGAAGAAAAGGCAGCCAAGCAGTCGTCATTGGAATTGCTTCCGAAAGTCCGATAGCACCACGAGTGCATGCAAGAGCCCAGTCCAAATGTGCTTTCGTGATTCGAAGCCGTCTCGTGTGTGTACTGCCGAAATGGCCGGCAAGCAACTTGCTGTTTGAGCTTGATGCCAGGCCAAAAAGTTCAAGGTCACCTCCAAGAACAAGGCTGGCTGCGAAGTCATAGCATGGGCTGTGCTGGTTGCCGTCTGGAGGGGTCATAGTCCATATGGTCCTGGCGTTTGCATCCGGGCCGGAGCGAGACACAAATGAACAGGTCATGTTTCAAAGGCAATACAAGGTGGGCAGGTAGCAAAGCGTCCGAGTGAAATCCACGCTCGAAGGCCTGAAACCCCTCAAGTGCCCCTCCTCGAGAGTCCAAAACCTTAGACCCCCAAAGCCTGATAAATCCCCACAAAAACTCAAGAAACAAGCTCCCGTAGACCAGGTCGGTATCCTTTCAAAGCCGGAAATCGAAGCCGAGGCTCCTTCTGGGAGAACGCCGGGAAAATGTGCTAATTGCAACGTCGCAAGTTTTATATTTGTAGGGGTGTGTGTAGCAAGGTATATAAGGTGGATAGGTCAAGTATAGGTAGCTAGGTAAGTAAGTAGGGGGCAAGCAGGCAGGCAAGTCGGTCGGTCAGGTAGGTAGGTGGTCACGTTGTTGTGCACATTGTGCATATCAAACATGATATGTTAACTTTTTGGCATGAAACCGTATGTATTTGTCTGTGTATATGTATGTGGTTGCATATGCACATGTGCGTACACATAGACACACACTCTTTTTCATTGTTTGGTGTTGACATGCTTGTTACATGTACGCATAAGGCTATATACGCATCAGCCGGAGCACACCACAGCAAGGAACGGACAAAGACGACACAAAGTGACGACACCGAAATCAACACGAGCAGTAGTGCTGCAGCAGCCAGGTGCGAGCAGCAGCAGCAGCGTCATCACCACAACCAGTAAGTAGTAGTAAGTAGTACCGTCACCATGAAAGTGGCATTGGTGCGGGTACACACCTTCGCAATGTTCTCGAGCACGCGCGCAAGCCTTCGGCGCCGGGAAAAGCAGCTTCTTAAGAGCTTGAAGTTCGGGTTCAAAGGAACCGACTTTTCGCTGATTCATCCCTTCATCACTGCTACCACCACCGCCACGACGACGACGACGACGACGACGACGACTACTACTACTACTACTACTACTGCTACTACTACCACTATACTACTAC